CCTGCCCCTATCCCTTTAAAATGGGACAGCACTTCAACACCTGCACACGTCACCATGTCATCACGATCTCTTGCTTCATATGAGATTGACGATCAAGACTGCTGACTTCAGTTGAGTTATTTTTTGGTATTTATCTTCAGGAAATCACTGAAGGCAACAATATCATGTTATTATAACGATATAATGTGGCATTAAGATCGTAACTGTATTGTGCATTTACACAGTGGCCATATTCATCAATGTAAACACAAGAAAACAACATTAACATTATAGCAGACTGTTATGACTGAAGTTTATTTATTTATTTATTTGAATTGTACTCTGTCTTTTTCTTTGTTCCGCCTTCTTGTTGTTTTTCTGTTGTCTCATAGGCTCCCATACCGGCGTGATCTTGAGTTCTGATTGGCTGCTGGTCTAGGAGGCATGTATAAAAAGGAGCTTCCGGCAGGGGTTCAGGAAGCTCATTTCTGCTGTGTTCGGTGTTTGGAGTGGAGCTCCTGGGTTTCCCTCACCCCTCCGGCCGACGACCAAAAACCAATATTGTACTAATGCTCATCATACGTTAAAATATTTTGAGAGTTTGAGCGTGTAGGGGTGGCCTGCCTATTTATTTGATTACTTTTGACTATGTTTATGTTTAGGGAGTAAGGTTGGCTTTTTGTATTTCTCTTTAAATAGTAATCGGTAATTTAGTGCATTTACTTTATAGATTCTTTTGTTTGTTATTTTGGCCTGTGGTCACCCTGAAGAGATGCTCATTTACCGTATATTAACCACATTTTCCTATAATAAATCTATTCATATATACTCTCAACTGAGTGTGTGAGTTTGGTTGTCGACCGAAGGGAGTCTTTTTGCATTAAGTTTTTGTTTTGTTTGGGAAATCCACCACCCCAACACATTTGTTTTCCTTCGTTTATTATGCCCATGTTGTTTCCCCTAGACTTGGGGCGTAATACAGACACAGTAAAAAGGTGATTCCCAGCCACTAGACTTTTCTGACTGGACATTCAAGTGTCAGAATGTTGTGGGACTGCTGTACAGGAGTCTTTATTAGGGATTATAAATAGCAAAATTTAGCTGTTTTTATTTTAGCTTTTTTTTTAAAGCATGACGGTGAAACACGAACATGGTTATGAAAGTATTAAACGTAAGTATGTGCTTGTTTGCTGTAAATATTCGTAATAATGACAAAAGAAATAGTACTTTGTGCATCTCCTTCAGTGTGCAGCCATGCTGCTGTTGTAGATGGTATTTTCTGGGAACTTTTCTTACCCCTTGGTTTCGAGTCTGGTCCTGAAAAAAATCAGTTTCAAGGTGTATCTAGCCCTTCCCCTTAGCCCTACGCCTTCAAGCTAATGAGAGTTGGGACACCCCTACCCTTCACTTGAATACGCAAAAAGTGGGGTACGTGAAGGGCTAAGGCGTAGAATTGGTATTGGGTCTAGGTTTACTGAGGTATATTGTGTGGTTTGCATTGTTTTGTCTGTTTTTTGTACTATTGGGCCTAGTGTCTGGAATAAAGAGAATATATAATGGGACCCCCTTGAAAATGAGATCTTAAAGGGGACCTATTATTTGAACATCACTTTTATAAGGGTTTAAACACAGTTGTGTGGCAACAGAGTGTGAATATAACCAGCTTCTGCAGAATCACTTTGATTGACATTTTCCATTTGTACGTGTCATCAGAGGGGGAAAGCCCCGCCCACTAGTGATCTCTCCCTCATTAGCATAGGATGTTAGTCTAATTTCTGAATCTGCCACTATGCTGACACATAGGCATTTAAAGCTCCGCCCTCTTTTGAAAAGAGCACAATCTCATTGGAATTTAAAGCGACAGTCACCAAAACACCACAATTAGGATCAAAGCCTGAAAAGGTCAGCTTCAGAGAGTTACAAAACATTATTAGTGTGGTGTTTTGAGCTGACACTTCACACACACTCTAGAGACATCAGAGACTTATTTTACATCTTTAAAAAAAATAGCATAATAGGTCCCCTTTAAGGGATTTTCCTCTAAATACTTGTATTATATGAAAACAAAAGAACATCTTATTATGTTTCTTATGAGTCAGACAATATTACAGGTTTTAAATAACAAAATGAATTAGATCAAATTTTATTTTTCTCATGCTGACACAAACTCAATACAAATGAGTCGGGAGTGGTTAGAAAACTAAAGCAAGCAACATGGTTGTGTTAGTAAAGAAAACAAACGGGGTCGTGTCCGTTCATGTCACAAACCACAAAGTTTTATCAAAGCGCACTGAACCACCTCAAGAATTGCATAAGAAACCGCAAGTCAGCAAATGTCATAATACCAGCGTCAAAGTGTTGAAATATTCACCGTCTTCAAAAATAACGAGAATTACGGCTCTTGAAAAGCTCCAGAACTCCCTGCTAATCTCCGCCTCTATTTTTAGGGTGTGAACAACATTGACTGGCTATCAGAATCACAGTCTGCTGCATGTAAAACTCAGAGACGCTTGCACCGTGTTGAGACTTGTTCAGTGTTGTGCTTGATCTTGGCTCACAGCACATTTCTGTTTTAGAGTAAAGATACTGAAGCATGGGAACCACGCTTAAGGCTAAATCCAAGTAGGGTAGTGGAAAAACATTTAAGGGTTTTCTTGATTAAAATCACCAATCAACTGTGGTCAAATTACTGTAACACACCACTTGAGTAATACAGACTGATGATACATTTTCATAGTTAATAATATCAGTAACTTAACGCATTTTTAAACTTAATTTTTAATTGCAATACATTTATTATTGATGAAGTAAAAATATACAGTAGCATTAATGACATTTTCGCAAAATACATATTCCATAACACAGAAGTTATATGCACTTTAAAACTCAGGTTACATTTGGGCTAAATGATATTGAAAAACATAATCCAGCAGTGTGTTAGTCCATATTTTACCCAAGTAAAAAATAAGCTGAAATAGATAAATAAAAAAAGAAAAATATGATTTATTATGATTTTTAATTACATGTACATATATATATATATGTATGTATGTATAAAAAAGGCGACATGGTGGCTTAGTGGTTAGCACTCACAGCAAGAAAGTCACTGGTTCAAGCCCCAGCTGGGCCAGTTGGCATTTCTGTGTGGAGTTTGCATGTTCTCCCCATCTTGGCGTGGGTTTCCTCCAGGTGCTCCGGTTTCCCCCAGTCTAAACGTATGTGCTGTAGGTGAATTGATGAACTAAACTGGTCAGTGTATGAGTGTGTGAATGTAGAGAGTGTATGGATGTTTTCCAGTACTGGGTTGCAGCTGGAAGGACATCCGCTGTGTAAAACATATGCTGGAATAGTTGGCGGTTCATTTCGCTGTTGCGACCCCAGATGAATAAAGGAACTAAGCTGAAAAGGACAAAAGAAAGACGGACGAAAGAAAGACAGATGAGAGAAATACGGAAGAAAGATGGACGGACAAACGAAAGAAGGATGGAAGAAAGACAGACAAACAAGCGAATGAAAAGAAAGACGAACTGAAAAGACAGACCTAAAAAGAAAGACAGGCATAAAAAGAAAGACGACTGAAAAAAGAAGACAACGGAAATAAAGATGAACGAAAGGAAGAAAAACGAAAGAGAGAAAGAAGAACGAATGAGCGAGCGAACGAAAAACGAACGAAGGAAAGACAGGCAAAAGAAAGACGGACAGACAGATGGACGAACATTTAAATGAATGTATTTATTTTTCATGAAATTTGTTTTCCTAATGTTAGTATCACACAAATGAGGAGTGAAAAGAAAGAAAAATCTACACTGATTACTCCTATAATGCATTTTTAATTGACATTTTTCTCTAAATGTTATATACACTACTTTTGCTGATTCAAGTCATCATTTCTAATCACCTTAATGTGAACAGTGAACTGCAATATGCAATTTTTTTTTTTAAAGAATTGCCTTCTACCATCCAAGATATGACTTTGCTCGTTTAAAATGTCATTCGAGAAGACTTTTAGATTAAATAAAATCATGGTCTTCCTTATTGATAAAAAAAAAAATCAAAAAAATCTGCAAGTCAATTTAAAAGTGCAAAAAAAGCACATGCAGGCAGCACAAAATTAGTGAGGTCTTATAAAGTGAAATCACAGGCCTGTGCAAGGAATTATACATCTTTTAAAACAACACCTTTAGTTTATTCCACAGCCTCAATAAACATTCCAGTTGGTATGTACATAGTAATGCGGATGGTGAAGCATTAGGTGTCAAGCTAATCATTTTTATTGATTTTTTGGCTAAAATGCATTTTTGACCATCTCTAAAGGTGGACAAGCATAAAACACCCTAATCTCCATCTGCATTTGTATTCATCATCATCCACTTGTGATGAGAATCATGAAAGCATTAGCTTTTGGGTGCGCAAAATGCTTAATCAGAGTTGTTTGTTGCACTGCATGTTACAACAAATGCCAAATAGCACCATACTCAATTAAAACGCTTTCATTAGATTCCAGGTTCATGGAGATGGAAAATTAGATTTTTCATACCTTCTGAAAGTAGCCCCGCTTGAGTGACTTGTCTCGCACCTGCCTGAAGTACACGTACCCATAATAATAGCCCTGATCTTTCTGTGGGAAACAGGAAAACGAGCACATCTACTATTAGAATCTGCTGTAGAATATTAGCAGCATTGTACAGGTCAAACACAGACATTATACAGACACATACAACACTATCATATAATCATAGTTTATTTGAGATAGTTAACAAAATAGTAAAAAATGCAAAAATAATAATATTAATATATAAATATAAAAGCTAAATTATTAACACTGCTGTAAATAATAATTGCGACTCCAAAGTGATGTTCAACAGCCAAAGGATAATGAATGAATGAATGTTGATGTTTAACACTGACCTTTAGAGACACCGGCGCATCCCGGTCAAAGTGTTCGAGGAAACATCCGAGTGACGACTTCCTGCCTGCGGCCTGCCGGAAACGGAAGCAGAACTGTGTGTCCCCGAGACAACCTGCGCACACACACGCACAAACACACACAAAAAGTTATGTTTATCTGCATGTTTTACTACACAGAGTAAACTTGCATGCACTGATTCAAGGACAGCTTGTGTTTTTACCCAAAATAAATCTGACTTATTAACTTAAGCCACAATATTTAGGCTGTAAAAATCTGGTGTTCTGCATAATCTCAAATGAAGGCCAGCCTGGTGCCTTAAAGTGCAAATAACATATTGTAAAATGCACTAAAGCAGTGAATTTGACTTGCATTCCAATATATTATTTTACTATTAAGAAGATAATATTTTTAATAAAAATAAATAATAATAATAATAATAATAAATTAAATAACTTATAAAATTAAATACAATAATTATAAACAAAATAAATATAAAACATATAAAAACACAGAAAATTAATTAACATGAAATAAATTAAAAATATATATAAATATATAAATGTAACAATAATAAAAAATAAATTTAATAAATCAATAAAATAAATTAATACAATTAATTATATTATTTATATTATTTATAAAAAGAAAAACAATATAAAAACACAAAATAATATAAATAATATTAAATAAATCGATGGAAAAATATCAAAATATATAAATGAAACAATATTTAAAAAAAATGAAATGTATAAAATTTTATTTAATATTTTTAAAAAGAAAAACAATATAAAACAAAATAAAATAAGATAAAAATAAATTAATTTTAAAATAATATAAAACAATAAATTAGTTTAAAAAAATAAATGAAAAAATAAAAACAATAATAAATAAATTAAACAAATCAATCAAATAATTTTAAATTAAAGGTAATATTTATAAAGGAAAAAAACAATTTAAAAAACAAAAACAAAACTATATATATATATATATATATATATATATATATATATATATATATATATATATATATATATACACACACACATATACATATACATATAAAACAAATAAATGAAAAAATTATTTAAAACAATAAATACTAAAAAATATATTAAATAAATAATTACTAAATAAATGAATAATAAATAAAGAATGAATAAATAAATAATAAATAAGTTAATAAATAATAATAAAATTAATAAATAAATAATTAATTCATACATAATAAATAAATAAATAATAATAAACTAATTAATGAGTAAAGATGTAAACAACTAAATAAATTAAATTAATAATTAATTAAAATCGATAAAAAAATGAATAAATAAATTATAAATAAATAATCAATAAACAAGTAAATAAATAAATAAAATCATTAAATAAATAAATAAATAAATAATAAATAACACATCATAAATAAATAATAATAAAATAATTAATGAGTAATCAAGTAAATTAATAGATTAAATAAATAATTAAAATTGTTAAACGAATAATTTATAATACATTAAAAATAATAAATAAAAATAAAATTATTAAATAGTAAATAAGTAAATTAAGTAATTAAATAGTTCAAATAGTTAAATAAATAATTAATAAATTATACATAAATTGATAATAAATAAATAGTATATACAGACCTGAAAATGTCATTCACAAATAATTAACGGCAGATGCAACATCCTAAAGTTAAGTAACCATTTGGTCATTATTCCATAACCATCATATCATCTGATCTGACTCCTACATAACTTGAAGACTCCTGAATGGAGCGCACGGTTCAGATTAGGACACTCATGTTTACGCATTTTCTTCTATTTTGGTCTTTTCTGCATACAGTGATGTGTGTGGGCCACAGGGAACAAGGAAGGTGGTTTATGCGAGTATGAAACCGGATTACTGGCTCTATCTACAGGCCATGACTGATGGATTACCTCATCCTCTCAGTTAACCCTTTACTAGTCTATTAAAAGCAGCGTTTACACAACGTTTAAGGGCTAATCCTGCTGAATGCACGTCTGAAAGGCAATAACAGACAAATTCACATGCTTGTTACAACCCTGATATAGAATACAATTTAATTTTTAAAAAATGGAAAGATGGGAATAAATAGTTAGATCAATATATTGCTGGAAAAAAATGAAGAGACCACTTAAAAATGATTGATTTCTTTGGATTTAAGACTATAATTGATGCCTCATTTGGATTGGAAATATTATAATATATGTTTTATTTTACTAGAAGATAGACAACAAAATCTTCTCAATTCTAAGGAGATAACATTTTCCAGAGTCAGAATTAAAAATTTTAAGTTATTGTGATTTACATTTCTCAAATGTGGAAGAACAGTTAGTGGGGGAAAAAAAGGTAACTCCAATTCATCAGATCACTTTAAACCACTGAAGACCTAATCATAGTTTTAATACAGTATCAGAAACTTCAGGTTAATATTAAGCATTTCTTTCAAGTTTATTATTATTAATGTTTTATTATTTAAAAACAGAAAATACTGTATATGAACAATGTACAATACATAGACCTTCATACTTTACAGGCAATAACAATCAATTATTAACAATATAATACAATTAAATACAACAATAAATACATAAAATGCAGATATAGATCATAGATAAATATTCATTCATTCATTCATTTTCTTTTCGGCTGTGTCCCTTTATTAATCTGGGGTTGGCACAGTGGAATAAACCACCAACTTATCTAGCATATGTTTTATACAGCAGATGCCCTTCCGGAAACCCACGCGAAGGCAGGGAGAACATGCAAACTCCACACATAAACGCCAACTGAGCCGAGGCTCGAACCAGCGACCCAGCGACCTTCTTGCTGTGAGGCGACAGCACTATAATATAATATAATATAATATAGTATAGTATAATATAATATAGTATAATATAATATAATATAGTATAGTATAATATAATATAATATAATGTAATATAATATAGTATAATATAATATAATATAATATTATATAGTATAATATAATATAATATAGTATAATATAATATAATGTAATATAATATAGTATAATATAATATAGTATAATATAATATAATATAGTATAATATAATATAATATAGTATAATATAATATAATATAATATAATATAATATAGTATAATATAATATAATATAATATAGTATAATGTAATATAATATAATATAATATAATATAATATAATATAATATAATATAATATAATATAATATAATATAATATAATATAATATAATCTCTACATTAAATCTGTCAATCTTTTTCCTTCAGCTAAGTCCTTTATTTATCAGGGGTGGCCCCAGCAAAATGAGCAGCCAACAATAAATCTCTAAATGTCTATATTTTAAAATTAGTAACAAATGATTTCAGACTAATAGCAATGTAGCAAATAATACTTCTATAGAATATTGCAAATATTAAAATTGTACTATAAAAAAAGTAACTGTAAAGTTTTTATACTATAAAATGAGAACTTTCAAGTGGTCTATTTAATTATGGCATTACACACACACAGAATTATTAATTAATTAGTAAAATCACTTAATTTCAACTTAATCTATTTGATATTGATATTTTATTATTAAATTAATTGTCCAGTAATCATTTTTTCAGGTCCTGGAAATTACTTTAACAAAAACACTGATTGGTTTTCCCAACTCAAAATATATTTGAAAGTGTAACGTGTTCTGATCATTTGTTGTAGATGCACAACACAGTCTTGAGTCATCAGTATGAGTTACTGACAGGCTGCTCCATTACTGAACAATGTGTAATAATGTCACAACACACACACACACACACACACACATATTCACATCGGTTTGGGAGGCAAGAAGCGTGTTTCCACAGCAACCAGCATGCTATTCTAATGGCGTGAGCAGATCGCTTCACCCACAGCATGCGACAAGAGGATGCAAAACACACTGCTGAAACTTCCATATGCCCAGCCTGACCCACAGAGACTGAAGTCATTCAAGACTGGAGTCGGAGATCAGAGGGATTTACAAAACAACACAATGGCCAATCACTGCAACAATGAATCATGCATTGAGAACTGGATGTCCTCTAGTTAAACAGCAAGAGCTACAAGTCAGATTGGGTTTGATGAGTATACTACACATTCTACAACATGTGTCAGTAGACAAAACATTTACACACACTACCTGACAAAAGTCTTGTCGCCTATCTCCGTTTTAGAAACAGAAAATAATAACTTGACTTCTAGCTGATCATTTGGTATCTGAAGTGGCTTATATGAAAAGGCAAAGGCCTCTAGATGACGCTTATTTTATCAAAATGAAATAGGATCATGTCTTGATTTTGAATGATTTCATTAGCACAATATAAGGTCTGACTCTGCTTAGACAAAAGTCTTGTCACTGAACAGAAATAATGTTCAGTATAGAATATAAAGTCCTGCTGCAGTGGAGATAGACTGAATATTGTGTCTGACTCCATCATGAGCTTGGAGGACTGCATCCATACATCTCTGACATGACTCAAATCACTGATTAATAAAGTCATCTGGAATGGTGAAGAAAGCGTTCTTGTATAATTCTTTGGATTCATCTTCAATGCCTGCTCTTCATCTTACTCCGGACATGCTTAATAATGTTCATGTCTGGTGACTGGGCTGGCTTTGGTAGCTTTGATGTGGAGGCTGAAGTATGAGAAGGAGCGCTATCCTGCTGGAGGATTGTCCCTCTCCTGTGGTTTGTAATGTAATGGGCAGCACAGATGCTTGATACCTCAGGCTGTTGATGTTGCAGATCTCTTGCACGCCCCCATACTGAATGCAGCCCCAAACCATGATTTTTCCTTCACCAAACTTGACTGATTTCTATGAGAATCTTGGGTACATGTGGGTTCCAGGAGGTCTTCTGCAGTATTGGTGATGATTGGGATGCAGATCAACAGATGATTCATCAGAAAAATCCACTTTCTGCCACTTTTCCACATGATCAACTAGAAGTCAAGTTATTATTTGTTGCTCTTACAACTAGGATCAACCACAAGACATTGGTCAGGTAGTGTATATACACAGTGTTCAGCATAATTAAGTACACCCTATTTTGAAAATGAATATTTTTTAT